TTAAGCCTGCTATCACTGATTGTGCTGGTGTGCTGCTTGCACTTCCGTGTAGATGACAGAAATCATAGCTCTTCGTGCACAGAGAAAGAGAGCTCTAGGGTAATTATAGAAATGCCCAGGGAAACCAGGCAGTCTCTTCCTGTCTGGAACTACAATAAAATCGCATAGACAGTCCTTTCCTTTTTTTTTAATTCCTCAGGATATCTTTAAGCACTATTGCACCATATTATCTGAATCAACATCTGCCCCACCCACTCTCCCCACAATTCCTATTCTTTTCCAGATCTGAACCTTTTTCATAACCCATCAGAGCAGTTTTGAGCAGGTAAGAAAAGGAAAGTGCAGCCTTTCCTTGCCTGCTGCACTGGAGGAAGGAAAGATCAGTAAGACAACTTTGTGAGAGCCTTCACCTGTGAGTCATCAGGCCTTGCTGCCCCAGGAACATTAGTGCCAATTCAAACTTGTTCCTTCAAAACAACACACTGGGATCTAGATTCTTCTCTCTGAAAGATTAGTGAAACACTTACCGAAGGAAAAAAGTCTCAGTTGATACATGTACAAAACCCAAAATTTTGCTAAAAAGTATGTGGCCTTCCAAGCATTCTGTTTATAGTATCACAAAGCAACTTGAACAATTGCCTTCCAGCTCCGATGAATAATTTGAAACAAATGCAGTGATCTATAAACATTTTTTTTCTGCTCTTGATAGTAAATGGTGGTGATTTACCACTTCCATAATGAGATAGCTCAATTTACCATTAACTCCCAAATCCATGTGCTGCAATGAAAGTTATTACCATTCAAACTCTTTAAAAGGGTTTTCTACGAAGAGTTTCTTCCAATTGCTTTCAATTACTTGCCTTGAAAAGATTTTAATATGTATTTATGAAGGGAAGGAGTTGAAGAAAGGGAGCAGCTGGGATCTAGGACAACTATCTACATCGCCGTAATACACACGCCTTACAATAAATCTTGGCCTGGTGGTATAGGATTAGCACTTGCCCTTCTTAGGTCTCAATCCTACATTACAGGCTTTTTGGAGTGCATTGCATTACTGCAGTTTTAAAGGGCAATATCACTTATTATCTACCATACCAAACAATCTATTGTCCATGACTGCCTGGAAAATATTCATTAAATTATTTACTTGCCATTTTTTTCCAATAAAAATCACTTTATGACTAGCCCCTTATTAACCTATTTCAGAGAATGAGGTAAAAAAGTCTTCTGAAGTTAGCAGAAAACTCTATTAAACCTCAGTAAGCACAAGCTTGGATAGATCTGACAGAATAATTGCTTCATCTATCTGAATTTCTTCAAAGTTCACAAATGAAATAGCTGCCAAAGGATTTTTTCCTTTCTTTCATTGTTTGTGCAACTCTAGTTCAACGCAGCTCAAGTTACCCAGCTGAACATGTAAACACCGGTAATGCAGCATATGTGAGATTGCATTTTGGACCACATTTTCTAGAGATTAATTCTCACATAAACACCAAAATAAGTAGCTAGTTTTTCAATAAAGCTCTTCTGGCTCCAGTTTTGGAGGCTCTGCATGTCAAACTGGGCCCTTGGCTGTTTTGAAAAACCAAGGGTGGATCCTCAGCAGCTTTAATTGTTGGCACTCTGTATGACAGTTTACACCTGCTGGAGAACTGCCCCCAGGGCCTAACTCTAGATACAGAAAACAAAGTCACTTCTGATGATATAAAACCTCTTTTGAATGTATGCCCTAAGCCCCAACTAAACCCCTTTTTAAGATTTTTAAAGCTAATAAGCATGAATACACTCACTTTCTTTGCTACTTTTAATAATTTTTTTTTTCTTAGAGCAAACATCCTCTTTGGCAATCTTTTGCACAAAATCAGCTACCATTGGTCATCTTATGCCAGATCAGGATCGTCTCCCAGGGACTTCAGCCCCAAGGCAGTGGGTGAAGCTCCTTTTCTTCCTTTAAAATTATATGGAACCTCAAATCCATTTCCTAGGCATCTTGTTTGTCAAAAGTTGTCTCATGCAAGTTGGCCTCTCCACTTGAGAGTGTGCTGATTCTTACAGTTCTTTATCCACTGCTTATACAGTAGCTGAACCTCAAAATCCTACTGATGATCCCAAGGAGGGAGCCTGAGCAAAGTTTCCACAAACCTACATAATCCACTCACAGAAAGATGGGAAAAGGTTTTCACCCCAGCTCAGCTCAGATGGCCATCCCAAATGGCTGCTCCAACCCTCACCCTTAAATAGAGAAGAAAAACTATGAGAAAGTGAGACTATGTCCTTAAGTCATTCTCTTTAACACTTATCTCAAAGAATTGTCCTGTGATTGTCCCTACTAAAGGCAATCCTTGATGAAAGCTTATAGAAATAACGCAGTTACCACAGCCCTCAACTACTTCCTACTATTCCAAATAAATAGTTAAAGCAACACTCAGCACAATGGCTCTAATGGTTTATACAGACTTTAAAACCAGAGTTACAAACCTCTGTTTCCAGGCAAACTGGGGCCTGAGCTTCATATTGGCCAGTCACCCTCAAGGACCACAAGGAATAAGGGAAGAGCAAGCTCAGGGAGAGGCTGGGAAGGAAGACAACTTTCAAAAGAGAGGGAGATAATAGATGCATGTGTACATACACATACGTATGTATATATCTATTTGTATACCTATGTATCAGAAGCACTATGCAAATTAATGCATACCAGAATTTTCATTAGACCTCTAGGTTTCTGGAGCCACCACCTTCGCATAATCAAACTTGTACTCTGTATCTTGGTAAGATGAGATCCTCTAGACAGTAGTAATGTGGAACAATATCAAAGGGTAGGAAACATTACAGCTGACAAAGATGCATGTTTCATTTATTAAGTAAACAAATGCTTCTGGTTTCTCATTAAATTTATCTGATGAACTTTGCAAACTAGCCTCACTGGTATTTCACCCTGATTTAGCTCAGAGCTTCCCTCAGCATCTCGCTTAAAGAAGTGATTCTGAAGGACTGTCCTGTTTGGATACCATCTAGGGAGAAGGCCACTAATCAGCTCTGCTAAGGGTACCTGAAACCGAAACCACAAGCAGGAAGGGACAAAAGTGGAGACAGATTACCCAGAGTGAATGTCAAGAATAGTATGTCCACTGTCTACTTCCTCTCATGATCTTCTCTTCCTTCCTTCTGACATTTTTCTCTTATGTCAACATTTTCACAAGCACTCAAACCCCTCAGAAATCTGAGACTCATTTTCAAAGTCTCCAAAACATTTGGGAGCCAGAGTCCTATTCATTCACTCTAACACTAGGGTTCCTTGTTGACTTCTGAAAAAAAGGCCTTAGATTCAAGATCAAGGGAGTGATCCTGAAAGTTTTACTCTAAGCCATTCTTTGAAACTTTTTGGAAGCTAAACCGTCTATTGTACTGGTGCAGAACACTGTGATAGAGAGATGGATTGCTGTTAGTGATACTCCAGACTTTCTTCAAATTTAAGCAACAGAACACCACTGAGGATCTATTGTATTTGTAAGAGAAATGACTAGCAATGGGAATGTCAAAAAATGTGAATGTCTGATTTTGGAAGTTTAAAATCATTATATTCTGAATGTCACTAATTGGAAAGCTGGGGTGAACATCTCATGAAAAAACAAAACAAAACAAAACAAAACCCCCACATTCCTGGATTTACCATAGTCATAGTTATGCTTGTAACAAAAGAACATTTAGCCCAGTATCCTATATCTGACACTGCCTTGTAGTGGATACTCAGGAAAAGACTACAAAAATGGGACAGAACCATCCCTGGTACACTCTCCCAAGCTTCCAGCAATCATTTATCTACTAACCTTCCTAAGCAGTAGCTAGATCATTGCCACCCAT